TCGTACCGTGAACCGAACGAACGAACGAACGAACGAACGAACGAACGAACGCACGCACGCACGCACGTTGGCCGGGCTCCACGGCGTCTCGAAAATAGCAGTACACTCTTTCTTTCTCCGTCGAGGGGCCTCCGATCTCCTTCTTCACGAGTCCAAACTAACCGTCACCGCGTTCCTTTTTTCACGGTGACGATCCATGCTCTCGCCCGCGAGACGACACACCGATACCGCCATCATCTTCCGGCGGAAGAAGGGGAAATGTATGTGTATTTGTGTATGTTTGTGATGAAAAACTCGAAAGGGAAACGCGAGAAGCGAAGAGGAGAAAAAACTTCCTCGCCACCGAGAAGGAGGAGAAGAGAGAGAGAGAGAGAGGGAGAAGAATGGAGGGAAAAAAGAGACACAACACGCACAACACGAGGAGGAAGAGAAAGAGGCAAAACGTAGGAGAGACCTGGACCAGCCACAATCTATCTATCGCGCGTGCAACGATACGTCGCCACGAAACCGCTTTGCGCGAGAGACTGAGAGAGAAACGTGGCGCGGTCCCTCGATTCGCGAACTCGACGAGGAGAGCGGTATCGAGAGCGCGCGAGACAGACTCTGGTTAGAGGGAGGGACGGAGGGAGCGAAAGAGAGAGAGAGGAGGGGAGGAATACCAGGCAGAGAAAAGCAGCCAAGGCGCGAGACAGGGATGGAAAATGTCGAAAAAGCGGAGAGTACGAGCAGGGGAGAATTGAAAAGCCTGGCAAAGATAAGAGAGGAAGGAATACGGACGAGAATGGAGATCGAATGGAGGAGGAATGGTTCTGAAGGGAGCAGGATAGAGAGGGAGAGAGAGAAAGAGAGAGAATACGTGTGTCGGGCAAGTGCACGCGTGCGCGTGTTTCGAGTGTACCGGGTGTCGAGTGAGTCACTGTTCCTCGGCTGTGATTTTAATCGCACGATATCGTTATGATTTGTAATCTTTTCCATGAAATTTTTAAACTCTCGGAAATTCTGGCCGTATCTTGAACAAAATCGGAGGATAGAATTTTAAAATAAAAGTGTGGCGTGATCGGTAAGGTAGAAATTACGAGGCGAGGCGAGGAAGGATATCCGAAAGATGGAAGATTCTTCGACATTTTCTTTTTCCTTTCTTCTTTAACAGAGCAAATTAGAATCAGAATTGTCAGAAAGAAATAAACCCTTTACCCTTCCTTTGAAGACGAAGTAGACCCTTGTCTAAGGGTCTATATATTTAAACAATGAAATAAAGAAACAACGATAGAAATAATCGATATAATTACTATTAACTATTCCCGGACGTGTGCACCAATCACACGATCATATAGCACGGTTGAAAGTTACAAATTGCCTGGCAATGCACACGCGAGCTTGAACTGAATAAGAGCTAGAGAGTGGTCAATTTCCTCGATACGATTCAACCTCTGCTTTCCTTTTTCCCCTTTAATCTTTTTAACCTCTTTAA